TGTGAGAGAGAGAGTCTGTGTGTGAGTGAGTGAGTGTGTGTGTGTGTGCGCGCTTGATCCGGCGCCGTGTTTGGACTTCCATCAGTCTAATAAGCTTAGAGAGTGTGTTTCATCTGTTCATTCTCATTCACCACATCCCGTGGGGTTATTGTTTGGAAAATGCTTAAGATGTTCCACAGTCCATTTCCACTGGCGCCTTCCACAAATAGGGTGCAAAAACTGTGTGTATTAGGGCTGGGACAATAAAACGATGCATCGCGAATTGAGAAATGATTCTGCATCGATTCTGCGATTTTCCGAAGGCATCGCGATTCTCTCTTGAATCGATTCTGAGCTTAGTTTTTAACAGCAGATGGCGCTGCAGGCTTTAGAAACAGCCGTATTCTGCTTGCTTCCAGTTACTTACACACGCACCACTCGAACCTAAAATAATCATTCATTAAGTTCGAAAAGGTTGAAGCAAATTACAAGGATGTTCACAGTGGGCTGTGTTTACATTAATCTTGCATCATAAAAGCATAAAAGCCGATGTGCAAGTAGATTTAACCACTTACATTACTCAGCCGAACGCACAAGCGCTCCTCTTCATGAGCATTTGAGTGTGCAGTTAAAAACTAACCTAGAGCGCCATCTGCTGTTAAAAACTAAGCTCAGAATCAATTCCAGAGAGAATCACGATGCCTTCGGAAAATCTCAGAAACGATCCACGAATCGCGATGCATCGATTTATTGTCCCAGCCCTAGTATGTATTATAAGATATGTTATAAGAAGGGCTGGGCAATTATGTCAAAAAATAATATCCTGATTTTTTTCGTTGTTTTGTTTTGTTTCACAATTTCAATTTTTATTTATTTATTTTTCTTACATTTATCTAGTCAACTTAAAAACATAACTACAACATGATTCAAGTAACGTTTTCTTTACTAAAGGGTTAGTTCACCCAAAAATTCTGACATTCGTCTGTCATTAATTACTCGCCCTCATGTCGTTCCAAACCCGTAAGACCTTCGTTCATCTTCGGAACACAAATTAAGATATTTTTGATGGAGTCCGAGAGCTCTCTGATCCTCCATAGACAGCAAGGATACTACCACGATCAACGCACAGAAACGTAGTAAGGACATCGTTAAAATAATCCATGTGACATCCGGGGGTCAACCGTAATATTATGAAGCTACGAGAATACTTTTTGTGCGCAAAGAAAACAATAATAACAAGAGTTACCGTCTTCCGCCAGCATGCTCGCGCTTTATCCTGAACATAAACAGCGCTGATTATGTTGATTACGTTCTGGGGTTCTCTCCAAAATGTTGCAAAACGGTAACTCGGAGAGAAGAATTGCTGAATAATTTATGTTATTATTGTTTTCTTTGCGCACAAAAAGTATTCTCGTAGCTTCATAATATTACGGTTGAACCCCTGATGTCACATGGACTATTTTACAGATCTCCTTGCTACGTTTTAATAAATGCCGTTTTAACGCAAAATAAACATGAATGAACATCTCACCCCTCACGTAATCGCTCAAGTAGTGTTTCAACCGTACAAAGACGTCATTAAAACAGCTTGTAAACCAAATGTCACGTAGCATTACATTTACCTCCGGCAAGTCATCAGTGTCCACAGCTCGTTATTTGCTAGAGAAATTAAGTCTAGTAAAGAGCATTTTACGAAATATTAGACTATACTTTATTATATTTACTTTAACTGTTAGTGATGTCTTCATTATTTAATGTATGTTTAAATAAATATTTTGTAAATTATGTCAACAACAAATATAAATTGTATAATTTAGAAGTTAATTTAAAAACAATTGAAATGTTTGCATACAATTTTTTTTTTTTTTGAGTGTTGATTATTATAGTTAAAAATAAATAGTAATTGAATTTATGTTTGGGCTCTGTTGTTAATTGTAACCTTATTGTAATGTAATGAATGTTTGACTAATTCACGATTTCAGTTGCAGTTTTTTTTATTTACATTTAACTAGTCAAATTAAAAACATAACTACAACATGATTCAAGTAACTTTTTCTTTATTAGCCATATAGTTAGTTATAATCACAAATATATATTATAATGTATTATAACAATTATATGTATTATAAGTTAAATAAATATATATATTTATAGTATGTATATAATTATGTACATACATATTTAATATATAATATAGTTATTTATTTTAAGGTATTGAAGTTTGCATTTTTGTCATTTATATATTAACATTTAATATAATTTGAATAAGGAATAGATTGAATTTAAATAAGCTACAACAGTCAAGATAACAGGGTTGCCGATTTACATTTATGCATTTAGCAGATGCTATTATTCAACGCGACTTAGAATAAGTTAAGCAATTCATAATTTGAATCGACATTTCAACATGACTAAGACCGGCTAATTTCCATACTATGTTAATCATACTGTATGTCTATGTAATAGTTGTCACTACACTTTAAACTTTCATGGGGCACTATAGCGCCACCTATCTGTGGAAAGGGCCTGTTGTTGTTTGTGCAATTAATTTTTACAAGTTGTTAGGATGTTTACCTGTGTCTGGATGACACTTGGTTCATTTGCCCTTCTCTGATGCATGCTTTTCATCATGCATAAAGCATCCGGTCAAACCTCCATCTGTGGAAAATGCCTGTTATAGTCTGAAAAACGTTCAGCGATTGCCTTCTGTAAATGTCATCCTCACTTGTCTGATGCGTGTTGCAGAATGTATGAAGAACCGCCATCAGGATTATGCGATCAAACTTCTACATGCTCTTCTCATGCATCACATCAGGTTCATGTTTTCATCATCTGTTGCATTATGAAAAGCAGACCTTCCTTCATGTTGAGTCACATCCTCATATGATCTTCATGAAGAACCATCTATATCTGAATCATGCAAAGTCTGATCGGGGAATTTTTTCCTTTATTGCTGCGTTCTGTCGGGACGTTCTTTGCTCAAACAGACTGACAGCGATCAAACCGACTTCAATTGTGATGACGACACATCGGCGACTGAGGTGTGTAGTTTAGTGCACTTTTATTCTCAATAGCTGGTGTTTTTGTGCTTTTAATGAGTGTATAACAGTCTCACGTCCTCTCTTTCAACTTATTACTCATTATAGTCTGACTTTGAGGACAACTTTGACTTGAGGACACAGGTATCGAGAATCTATGGTGTTTTGAGAAGGCAGAAACCACTTTAAGGTGGTTTGATGGTCTTATATGGGTTTTATTTTGAGCTGGTCAGACTGAGAAACCAACTAAACCAGCAAAGACCAGCAAACCTCCTTAGGCTGGTTTGAAGCCAAGAATCATCCATCATCACCATGTTTTTGCGTTTGTTTTCAGTTTTTACTTGTAAAACGTTGTAACCAGTAGCAGAAACCACTCTGGTGTGGATTTGGTTGCTGAAAGGGTAATCTAATTAATTACATGATGTGCTGATTAATTAATTGCAAAAATGTATCACGCATTATTTTTGGCTGAGAAATTACCTTTCAAAAGATTATCTAAAATCATTCTGTTAAATGAGAAAAGCATTGAATAGACATTGAGTCATTGAATCATTCACTCGACCAATTCATTTTTATCTAATTAATTACATGTAATGATAAATTATTCGCAAAATTAATCACACTTGAACTTTGGCTGAGAAATTACCCTCCAAAAGATCATAATGGTAAATGATAAAAGCATTGAATAGACAAAAAAAGTAGCTTTAGAAGAAAATAGTTTGATTCAGCGTTACATAAATAATGATAATAAATGCTTAATAATGTTTTTTTATGAATATTGGGGGAAAAAATTTAATTATACTCTAAATATGAGGTGAGAGGGCAGCAAGTCACTGCCTTAATGAGTGAGTCACTGAATCATTCACTCAACTGATTCATTCAAACAGCTGATTCATTCAGAAACGAAGCAAGTGACTGTCTTTATGAATGAGTCACTGAATCATTGACTCACTCGATTTGTTCAAAACTGAATAAATTGACAGACCCTATTTTTCTCTTTCTCTAGTATAGCTTCATAAAACGGATTAAAGGAGAGAATGTGTTTGTCAAGCACAGTAATCTCATGTTGGAGGTTTGTGAAGCATGAGGTGACGTGTGTTTGGGCTTAATTACTCATATGTGACCCTGGACCACAAAACTAGTCATAAGGGTCAATTTGAATAAATAATTATAAGCTTTCCATCCAATAAATAAGCTTTCCATTGATGTATGGTTTGTTAGGATAGGACAATATTTGGCTGAGATACAACTATTTGAAAATCTGGAATCTGAGGGAGCAAAAAAATCTAAATATTGAGAAAATCATTTTTAAAGTGGTCCAAATTATGTTCTTAGCAATGCATATTACTAATCAAAAATGAAGTTTTGATATATTTACAGTAGGTAATTTACAAAATATCTTCATGGAACATGATCTTTACTTAATATCCTAATGATTTTTGGCATTAAAGGAAACAATAATTTTGACCCATACAATGTATTGTTGGCTATTGCTACAAATATACCCCAGCGACTTAAGACTGCTTTTGTGCTCCAGGATCACGTATGATCAGCCTATGAACCGGTTAATATTTAGAACTGCTGTGAGTCTAACAGCACTTGATTCGGTTTTTAATCAATTCAAGTTTCACAGAAATTCAAGTTTTAAGCAGCTTCACAGAAAACGCTTGTTCCAGAGTTACATTTAACATAGTTATTTTTCTTATTTTTGTTCTTATTCTGAGTGTTTGAAGCCCTTGCATGAATTAAACCAGTTGATATTTCCAGATTGTGTTTGTATTTAGCATAAAATATTAACGCAGCAATGAAAAGCCAATGACATTCGTTTGGAATCTTCTTATGCCCCGACCCATGTGATCGCTCCCTGTGCTGTGATTGGTGGGTCAGGAGACAGACACGCCCACAGAACTAATGCAGCATCAGCGGAGCGTCAGTGAGCTGAAGAAGTCGTTTCTGGAGATGCGTTGTGAAGCGTCTGGAGTGAACGAGTGGGACAGGAGACTGTCCTCGTCTCCTCGACTGAATGACCCATCTCTGATTAAACCTGTACACTCACAGGAAGTAAGACGTGTGCTTTAGACCGGCCTGTACATGAGATTTGAGTGACACAGATGTTCATTTAACAACAGAAATAGATAAAGCTGCACTTTAACCCTCTGGTGTTGTTTGGTCATTTTTGACCAAAAAAAAATTAGGTTTTGGTTTAAATCAGATCATCTTAATCAGAATGGTATGAAACTTGGTAGAGCTTTTGGCACTTGCTATGTGAACACGCACACACACAAAAAAAAACACGGGCAGGGTTTAAAAAGGTTAAATTGATTTGAAATAAATAGTCACGCTTGGATTGTTTGTGGTCAAAAATGTCCAAAATTAAAATGAACTGAAGCAAATTTCATCAGGTAGAAACGTTTGGTTCTGCGCTTTTTTGTGATATCAACTTACAATTTGGAACACAACTAGCTTAGATTTACGACTTCGATTTTCTTGTAGTTGAAGAAATGTTTTAAATATATTTCATATAAAATTTTAAAATAGTGTTTTTGTATGTTTTTCATGATAATAACTAAAAAACATTTATATCTTTTTTTTTTTTTTCACTTTTTTCACTTCAGCAATAATCTGCTAAGTCACTTCTTTAAAAAAAAAAAATAGACAAAACTTAAGCCTTACACGCCCCCACATGTCTACGTCACTATGTTGTAGGGGTCGACCAATATGTGTTTTTCAGGGCCGATACCGATTATTACAATCAAGTAGACCGATAACCGATATTTTGAACCGATATATATGTCTGGTGTAAAAATTAAAATTAATGT